TTCCATGGGTAACCCACAGCTCAAGGGAAGCGGTCCTCAGGGGACAACGGGAGAAGACCAGAGTGACCGGCATCTGCACTTGGGCCTGGAGAGGGGACGGGTGCTCTCTGGGTCAGCAGGTCTCTCTGAGGACGCTAGAGGCCAGGTGATCCTGCACAGGTATGGATGTGGGGGACCTGGCCCTGGGAGCACCACAGTTCAGCACGCCCGCGGCTCCCCCTACCCAGCAACATCCTAGAGCAAGACTCTGGCGGGTCCACCCAGTGTGGCGTGCGGCCCTCAGGCCCTGGTGCGATCGATCCCAGGGAGACGGGAGCACCTCTCCTCTTAGATGGGCTGACGGGGACCAGACCACGTCTCAGATGGGCGCCACTTTACAACCACCACGGTCCTGGACTCCCAGGGCAGCACTCCGTGGACTCACGAAGGGAGCCCAGGGAGCTGACTGTGACCCCTGACAGGTCTGAACCCAACACGCCTGACGCAAGCTAGAGCTCGGCCTACCAGGGCCCTGCCTCTGCCCTCCAACCTGTCCACTCAGGAACACAGAGCGCGAGGGGCGGGGACCTCAGGAGTGTCTGGCCACCCGTCCTCGTAAACTGGGTGTTACTACAGCCCCCCAAACTGGAAATACTGCCCACAGCGGGGGCGTCACTACGGCCCGGAGTCACTGACGTCACCGCCCACAGCGGGGGTGTCACTACGGCCCAGAGTCACTGACGTCACCGCCCAAGCGGGGTGTCACTACGGCCCGGAGTCACTGACGTCACCACCCACAGCGGGGGTGTCACTACGGGCCCGGCGCTCACTGACATCACCGCCCACAGCGGGGGTGTCACTACGGCCCGGAGTCACTGACGTCACCGCCCAAGCGGGGTGTCACTACGGCCCGGAGTCACTGACGTCACCGCCCACAGCAGGGTGTCACTACGGCCCGGCGCTCACTGACGTCACTGCCCACAGCGGGTTGTTACTACTCCTCCTCCTTGCATGTGTACCAAGCTCTTCTGCAGGCTCTCCTCCCCCTACTCCCTCATCCGCTCCTGATTGGCCTACAGGGGCGGGGGCTCTGTCTTCATGGGGGACAGTCACATGGTGTTCTGTGTCTATCCCCAGACCCACAATCTGCCAGGCCAGGACAGCCTGGCGGCAGCGAAGACAATCCAACCCAGACGGGCGCGTGCCTTATCTGTGAGTGCACAGCCCGCAGAGCCCAGGCTTGCACGCCCGTCCCTGGCACTCAGCTGGCACCGTGAGCACCCAGTCAACGTCAGGGCTGGCAACGCAAGCCGACAGCAGTAAGCTGGGGGAGCACCCCCTTCCTGAGGCCCATACCACTGTCTGCCCCTTACGCCCACACCGCACCTGTGACACTCCCCGGTCACAGTCATTGCACAGGGAAGGCGTCCCCTCAGCTCTGAGTCACAGACCTGAAACGGCTCCTCCTCCTTCTGGTAACCTTGCCGAGGATCCAGACCCATGAACTGCGAACACGGTCCTGCCTGTGGGCAGTGGCCTCTATGACAACGGCCAGCAGGTGAGGACACTCCCACCTCCCCGTCTTGGGCTCCAGGTACCCGGGACCTCGAAGGGGGCCCCAGAGTCCCAGCTCTTGTGACGTGGTGCCCCCACTCCAGCCACCAAGCTTGACTTTTAATCACATGCAGAGAAAATGGACGAGGGACATCTGAACTGCCACTGCACTCCGGGTGACATTTTTCAAGGACTTCCGAACACCTCTTTAGCTCTGGACGAGGTCCCCCAGAACTTCTGGGGCCTGTGGCAAGGAGGGCGGGGGCTTCCTCCAAACTGCGTCTTTCAGCTGGCTCTCACCAGAGGTCATAAAGGCCCATAAAGGAGGTCAACTGAGAGCAGACTCTCTTCTAGAATAGTTAAAAGCTGGCAAAAGAAATAAACAGTCACCCATAGCACTGAGCCCGCAGAGCCAAAAGCCTCTGGCCACAGGCAGGTCCCCATTATCCCCACTGTATCCAGGACCCAGACTTCTAATGTAAACCACCAACGTGTGAATGATCCCGAAACATGACACGTTGCCTCTAAGAGCCCCCAAGCTTCTCGGATGGCAGGAACACAGGTACCCAGGGCGGGGGTGCAAGCGCCAAAGCGCTTCGTGGACACACCAGCCACCACCTGGGCACCTGGGCACCTGGACAGTGACCGGTGTCCCCTGACCCAAACACACCAGGCAGCCCAGGGCTGCTTGGCCACCTGTCGGTCTCTCCTGCCCAAACAAAAGGGCAAAGCCTCAGATGGGAGAGAAGGAGCGCTCCCAAGAAGGTGCAAGTTGCTGGGGCACCCCCAAGTTCCCAAGCGCAAGTATGCAGCAAGCAGGGTGCCGCCTTCTGCCATAATTCACTAACATTTCCTCGCGAAACAGCGCTTCAACTGGCTACCAGCATGCTGACTCAAGGGATACAGGGCCCGCCTTTGGGGTCCCACTGGGTATAGTTCAAAGGTCAGCTAGGGAGTAAAAAAGGGAGGACCGGGCTACCTGCCCATCCACACTACTGAGCCAGTTGCCTGAACTGCCCCCCAAATCAACAACCTGCAGAGCGGCTTCACGCACGTTTCCAACGGCAGCCGCTTGGTGGGCTTGGGGTCTGGGTGGGCCCCCACTCCTGGCCCAACCCCTCCTTCCCATGGATCTACAGAGGGAAGGCTGCTCTCCCAAGGAGAACAGGGCCACCAGGGGTGGACAGAAAGTGAAACAGACACCATGGCCGGGTACTGAGGCTGGGTCCTGTTAGTCCAGTGCCAACCACTCCTCTCCAGGGGCCGGGGGCCAGCGCACCCCAAGGCAAGCTCCGCCACCTAGAACCAGGAAGTGGCCGTGCACCTCCCCACTTGCTGGGCACAGGGCTCTGGTGTTTGGCAACTCGCCAGCCTGCAGGAAGAGGGCACAGGAAGGAGTCGCTGGCTGCAGCAGCGCGCTGGGCTGGGCGGTGCACGGGCCCCCCCCTCCGCTTTCACTTTCTGCCCAGGACTGCCCGTGAGTCAAAGGCGGGAGCAGAATGTTTACAAATCCCGTCCCTTTATTCAAAGCTCACTTCCAAAGCATGCGTGAGCTGCTGCTGAAGGAAATCAATTACTTTACTTCCTAAAAACAAAACAAAAATCAAAACGGTGCCGAATGTCCACCCCGAGAAAGCGTCTTAAATCCCTCCTCCCTGGATGTCCCCATGGCAGGGCTGGGACTGGATCTAGGCCTCTGAGGAGCTGCTGGGAGGCAGCTTCCAGAAGCCCAGGGGCCGGGGCATGGCCCCTACCCTAGGTCACCAAAAAGGTCAGAGAGAAATGCCCCTGGCCTCCAGGCATCACCTCCTGTCCCTCCCACCCCACAAAGCCGTGTGCCCTATCTTTCCTGATCTGTAACCACCAGCACACATCAAGGCCTCAAGACAGAAAAGGGCAAACACAGAGCTTTATTTGCAAATGAGAAGCCACATTCAGGGCCGCTGTGAAGGGCCCCTGGACAGAGGGGAAGAGGTCCTTAACTCCTGAGGACTGACCCCTTGCACAGATTCAGACTTTTTCTTGACCACTCTAAAGCCAAAACTACTCCCGGTAAAAGACGCCAGGCCAGGCCACTTTCTGTAGACTTGATCTCGCAGGGCCACGCCATGGGCCCAGGAAAAAAAACCCCATCTTAAAGGAAAGAGTAAGGGAGACAGCCAACAAAACTCCCTTCTCGATCCTCAGTGGGGTGGGGGAGCATGAAGACGAGCGGGGGCGAATCCTTCCCTCGCTTTCCTCCTGTCCCTCCAGCCCCTTAGTTTGCCTACTGATGCACAATACCCACCCCACACCCACCCCGCTAACTTTGCAGTCCATAACCAAGTTAACACACGAGGGAGGGACACCAGTTCCGCACGTCTGGGCGGAAAGCTTTCAGCCAAAATGAAGGGTCGCAGGACACTCAGGGAATGGGCCCAACAGAGGGAACTCACAGGAGGAACCTGCCCCAACCCCATTCTGTGTCCCGACTTTCATCTTTCCAAAACTGTCCCTGGGCCCCAAGGGAAAGGAGGCCGCCCAAGGCCTCCACGCTAGCCCTGCCCCCATAGGAGCAACCGGTGGAGAACTCCGCCGGGCCCCCAGCTTTATTCACCGGGGAGCCCACTAGGGCCACGGAGACCTTCGAGGTTTGCGTGGCGGGCATTCCTCCCCGACGGGCTTGTGCCATGGTCACCCCGGTGCCCACCCGAGGGGAAAAGAGGGGAAGCACCCCGCTCCTGCCACTCCAAGTCGCCCTCGCCCGGATTAAGTGCTTTTCAGGCTGATTTCAAAACGGGAACTGGGTCTCCTCCTGGCCTGGCTGCAGCGACCCAGTAACTCGAAGAGGCTCAAAGTCAGCGCCGGGACCCTAACTCTGGGAGGAAGCTGCCCCCGCGCCGCTCCGAGTCGGGCCCAGGCCTGGTCTCGCCCCCCGCCCGGCAGCGGCGCCGGCCCCCAGCGCGAGCCGCGAGGGGCCCGCAGCCAGGGCGGGCGGGCTCCGGGAAAGTGGCGCCGGGGCGCACGGCGGGCCCGGGACGCCACCGCGCACCTTCCCCTCCGCGTCCTCCCTCGTTCCCCCCTCCGAAAGATGGCGGGCAGAGGAAAGGGGGGAAAAAAAATCCCTTCCGCGAGGGAAGGCGCGGGAGGCCGGGTTGGCGCGGGGCGCGCGGGCCGTGCCAACTCCGGGCTGCGCGCCCCAGCCGCGGCGACGCCCCCAGCCCGGGGCGCGGGCTGCCGGGAGGGCGCGGGCGAGGGCGAAGGGGAGGGAGCCCGCGCCGCCGCCGCCGCCGCGACCCCGGGCGGCCGCCGCGCTTTGTTGCATCGTGGCCGCGCACAAAGGCGGCGGCGGCCCGGGCGCCCGGCTCCCGGGACGCGCCGGCGGCCCGCGCGGGGCGCACGGGGCCGCGCTCCCCGGCCCGCCCGGCCCGCCGCCGCCCGCGCCGCCCGCCGCCCCGCGCGCGCAAGGAAGCAAGAGAAAGGCGTACTTGGCCTCGGCGGCTCCCGCGGCCGTCCCTCTCCGGCCCGCGCGGCCGGCTCCTCTTGGGTTCGCCGGCCCCGGCAGCATAATAGACGCGCCGGAGCCGAGCAGGGCTCATGCGCTGCGCCGCGGCGCCTGGCGGGAGTCGTAGTCCGCGGCCGGGCCCGCGCCGGGGCCGCCCAGGGGAGGCCGCGGCGCGCGGACTACATGTCCCGGCCCCGCCGGCGCCGCGCCCCGCCCCGCGCGCCCGCGCCCGCTGCCCGCCCCGCCGACCCGGCCGCGAGCGGGCCCGGCCCGGGGGGCGCGCGGGGCGGGGCGGGGCGGGGCGGGGACCCCCGGCGGCCGCCCCCAGCCCTGCCGCCCGCCCTCCGGCGCAGGGAACTTGCGCCTTCGGGCGAATTTCCTGGTGCCCGCGGGAGGCGTGGAAAAGGCAGGAGCGCGGCTAGCACCGGCCCGCCCGCCGCCACTCCCGCCCGGGGACCCCGGAGCCCGGGGTTGGGGGCGCCCTCGAACGCCGGCTGCGCACCGTTGGGGCGGCGCGCACCTGCGGAGCCCCGTGTTTGTAAACAAACCGCGCGCCTAATTAGTCCGGCGGGGGCGCGCGGGGGGGCGGGGCGTCGGCGCGCGCGCGCAGGGGCGGCCCCGCCCGGGGAGGAGCCGCGCTCGGCCGCGCCCCCCTCTAGCTACCCACCTCCGACTGCGCCCGCCACCGCGCTCGCATTCCCGGGGTGCGCGGGGCCGCGAGCCCAAGTCAGCCTTGGTGGGGAGGGGCAGGGGATGTGCCGAGCCCTGCCCAAAGACCGCGCCCGCCAGCCTCAGTTTCCCCGTCTGCCCAGGGAGGGGCTGGAATGAGATGAAGGCCCCCACCCTGAGATTCCAGGAGTGGGCCACAAAGGTAAAAACAAGGAGGCTCGGCCCTTCTGTGTTTTGAAAGGCTCAGCTCGTGGGCACGTTTCAGATCTTGTTTTGGATGGCCATTCCTCAGGTGTATACATAAGTACACTTTTATCCAGCTGTAATGTAAGGTGGACGCATGTTGTGTAAGTTAGACCCCTATAAAAACGTCTAAAACAAAACAAGTTTTCCCCTGTGCTGGCTGAACCTGCCAACTGGAAGGTCGAGTTTCTTTGTGTGGTCTGGACCCATCCCAAGTCGCTGGGGTCACTGGGTTTATTTTCAGGGTGAGCAGGAGTTCTGCCGCTGGAAAGGCACACATCTTAATAATATTACAGTGAGTGCGGGCTCCGCGGGGCCCACTGGGCCACTCTGTCCTCCCAGGCTCACAGGTGAGGGAACTGAGCCTCTGGGAGGAGCAGTGACCTGCCCAGGGTCACAGAGTCAGTAAGCAGGAGAGAGCTGAGATGCCAAAGTCCCCCAGACCTGGGAAACAGCTTGCTGGAGAGGCTGAAATGTTCTCCGACCCTACACGCTGCCCCTTTGTGTGTAAGAGCTCAGGACCTCTTACACACCCCAGGTGAGACTCCAGAGCAAGGCACTGGGGGGTGAGGGGGTTGGGGAAGACCTTGTCTTTCTAGTTTACAAACTGGGAGAAGGTGGAGTGGATGGTGAGAATCTGCAGGCTGACACCTCAGACCCAGGGTCCTGGTTGCACCCCTCCCAGAGCCCTGATTTGGTACTCCGGGTTTACAGACTCCTGTGCTAGTCACCCCCAAGGCTACATTCCTTTCCTGCCCTCTGGGTCTCATCCTCTAGGACATCCTAGGCACTCACCATCAGGATGATCCCACCTCACTCATCAGGCCAAAGCAAAGAGCCTCTCCACCTGGTCTTGGCCTTCCAGAGTTTGGCTGGAGTCCACAGAGGGTGCCCCTGACCAGCCAGGCTGTCAAGGCTGCCGACCAAATGCCCAGGACCCTGATGAGCCTCCATGGGCCTTATGGTGACCCCAGAAGTATCCCACAAGGAATACAGCAGGAACCTGGGCCCTCCCTGGGGACCTCGGCTTGTATGCAAGGACCCAGGTCCCCACCTTTCCCTTCCTTGTGCCCACTGGTCCTGCTTGCCACTCGCGTTGCCCAGGTGGCTCAGTGGGGTAGCCTTCTGTGAGGCTGGAAGTCTCTAGGAAGCAGAATCAGCAAGAGGAATGTGACAGAGACTGGCCTTTGGGCATCTCAGCCCCTGGCTAACTACCTGTCAGGCCTAGTGCAGGGGCTCCTCCCTAGGGCCTCTGGAGAGGCAGGGCTGCCTTGGGAAGAAATTCAGGGTGGCCCCGATGCCCGACCCCCTACCAGCCCAGGCTCCTGGAGTTTCAACACCACTGAGGTTGGGCCTCTGAGGACTGCTGAGTGCCCGGAACAGAGTCACTTAATCTCCCCAAGCCTGGTTTCCTCATCTGTCAAAGGAGTCCAAAAATAGGACCTGAGTCTCCTGCTATGGGAGGGGGAAGGGGTGTGTGCCAGAGGCCTGGCCTGCGGCCCCCTCCCTTGGTCACAGCTCCCCTCTCCGCCTTCGTCTCTCACTTACAGGGTCTGTTGATTGGCTGATCCTGCTCCACTGTGGCAGCTCCATGAGAGCAGTGCTCCATCCCCTGGGCCTACGAGGGGTCTGGCGTGAATGAATGAATTTTCTCTTCTGCACCCCTGTCCGGTCCTCCAGCCTCCATCTGCAAACTTCAGTGCAGCCAGACCTCCTGCGGCTAAGGCACCTGCCCCGCAGGAAGCCTTAAAGTCTTGGCCTTAAAACTTGCCCTTTGCCTTAAACCCATATTCAGGCCAGGACGGGCCTGGGGTCTCAACTGCCTCCTCCTCTTTCATGCAGTGTTTACTGCCATGCCCCTGGAGGAACAGAGCAGTTTATGTTACTGCATTATAGTTCATACACGAGTCTCTGAAAAGTTTAGTTATCGTGAGTCCTTCCCAGGAGACTGATCAGCCCTCAGAACAACTTAAAAAAAAAGAGCTTACATACACAATTTCACTGAATCCCCAAACAATCTTATGAGGTAGGGGTGATTATGCCCACGTTACAGATGAAAGTGGTGGCATGGTGAGGCTACATTCCTAGCCTGAGCCACGGTTTGAACCCAGATGAGGGTTCGCATTTCACCTGCAAGGTATCTTCCAGGAGCCTGTGTTTTGGTAGGTGAGATGAGGTGCATATTTGAGGGCACGGATGCCCATGTTCACTAACTGGTGGTTCTCTTAGAAACGTGTGGGGAGCGCCCATCAGGGGATGGAGCTTGGAGGTGAGCTTTCTCACTTCCCCGTTTTCCCTGGCCGCAGGTGGAAGATCATTTGCATAAAAGCAATAGTAATGTCTTTAAAAGCACACAGTGCAGAGGTCTTGGGTGTGATCTGGGAGCTTGGGGGAAAAGAGGGACTGGGCTGCAGCCACAAAAGTGTGGTCACAGACAGGCAGTCAGCAGGAGGCAGGGCAGGAAGACAGGGGGTGGCCCCCAGAGTCTCAGTCTGCTCATCTGTAAAATGGGCGTAATATATGCCTCCCTCATAGGCTTGCTGTGAGGACAACTATGGTAGAAGGACACATTCTCTAAGATTGTGTCCCCATCCATTCATGCGTCTGCTGCATAGGGACCGGTGGAGGGCATGGCGCCCCAAGTCCCACTTCCCAGCAGGGGAGATCCAACAGGGAACAAGACAAAGCCAGCTGCCGTGGAGCTGACATGTTCCTGGGGATGCACAGACTGTCATAAATAAGTAAAATAAGCCATGTGCCTCACGGTGCTCAGTGCTGTGGAGAAAATTCAAGCCAGGAAAGGAGCCGGGGAGCTGACTAGTGGGGTAGTAGGGTCATGGCAGCTACCTCTGGGAACTAGGACTGTGAGTGATTTCATTTTATTTTTCTCAATGATCATTTCTTTCTTCCACGGCAAACAGGTATGACTATGTACCAAAACTTGAGTTTTGTTTGAAGAAATGATCATTGTGATATAATGGGAGATTGGGGCTGGCCTGGGAAGTGCTCCAGTCTCCGGGTCCCTGGAATCCTTGTTCAAAGTTTAGGTGCCCCTGCTGTTAGAAGGTGGTGGTGCCAGCTTCTTGGTTTGGCCACCCGTGAGAAAGCTATCTGTACTGATGTCCTGGGACATCATGGCCCTGTCTGTATTCCCTCCTCATATCCCCTGCCTCTGAGAAGGAACCCCAAGATTACAAGACAAGTATGTTCAGAATGATTGAAGATATCCAATAAGTAATTTTTTTAAAAAGACTAACAACGGGCGCCTGGGTGGCTCAGTCAGTTGGGCATCTGCCTTCAGTTCGGGTCACGATCCCAGAGTCCCAGGACTGAGTACCACATCGGGCTCCCCGCTCAATGGTAAGTCTGCTTCTCCCTCTGACTGCCCCCCCTTGTGCTCTCTCCCTCTCTCTCAAATGAATAAATAAAATATTTTAAAAGAAAGACTAACAAAAAATTTGACATTTTGAAAAAAAAATCTTAGATGTTCTAGAAATCAAAAATATAGGCTACAGGGAAATTTGAAACTCAGAGGAAGGGGTACCTAGTGGCTTAGACAATGTTCAAGAGAGAATTAGTTCCTAAAAGATAGATCCGAGGAAATCAACCAGAATGGGGTTTAGAGGAGCAAAAGAGATGGAAAATTTAAAAATCGGAAAATTCAGTTAAGAAACAGGAAAGTGGTGTTATGTCATCTTTCTAAAAGGAACACCAGACAGACTGAATTAAGAATTAAAGGGGAGAAGAAATCTTTGTACAGATAAGAGATGAAACTTTAACAAAATAGATGGAAGAAATGAATCCTTGGATTCAAACACAAGTCACAAGTAGGATAGACAACAGTGAATGCATCCCTAAATGTATCACAGAGGAACAGAAAACATCAAAGACAAAGAGATCTGACCAGCAATGGGCTGAGATGAACTCAGCAAATATGGCAGAGCACAGAATAGGCCCGTAACTCCAAAGGGCCCGTAACTCCGCAGAAACATCAAACACAACTGGCAAAAGATGTCACAATAAACTTTATCTGAACTCCGGAAACGAGTCAAAGGTTTATATAAACTGGGAAAACAATCAAGAAGAAGGCAGCTCAATCTCAGCGTTTAAGGAAATTTCTATTGAATAACTAGCTGACCATTAAGCTAATCAAACAGACACTTCACTGGCCACACACAACACACAATACTGGGTTTACAAAATAAGCTCAGAAACATCAAACAACAGC